TTCTCAATTTCAGACACCCCCTTAACCTGAAGAAGTTCAAACCGTGTTCACCAAATACAAGTGTTGGGGTGTCTGGGTGGCTCAGTTGGTTAAGCATCTACCTCAGCTCAGGTCAGTACTGGGATCGAGCCCCACGGTCGGGCTCCCTGCTCAGTAGGAATTTTGCTTCTCCTTCTCCCTCTGCCCCTCCCCCCTGCTCGTGCGCGCTCTCTCTCTCTCTCTCTCTCTCTCAAATAAATAAAATCTTAAAAAAAATTACAAGTGTTGCCTTCCAGACTAATGAGTGTTTTATTATTTTAGTAATAGATGTGTGTCTTTAAAAGCAGTGGAGTTTAATAATTCTGACCTGGTCTGTTCCCTTTCTTCTTTTTCTCTTTTTAAACACAGTTAACAAGCACAAACCATGGCTCGAGCCCACCTATCATGGCATAATCACAGAAAACGATAATGCAGTGCTTCTCGACCCTCCTCTGATTGCCCTGGATAAAGACGCACCTCTGCGATTCGCAGGTATGAACGCGGCTTTTATCTTACTGTTGATAAATGCGGACTGGATGCGAAGCATTTCACATATCCCGTTTAGATTATTTCTGAGCCTTTCTGAAAATGTCTTGATAGTTAAGAGGTGTTTGTGGCTTCTGTGTATGACATTTTTTCCTTTTAATTTTAATAGTTGGAATAACTGGAAAGAAAAAACCTGTCCTTGCTGAAAAGCAAAATATTTATTGCATCATTGTATTCCTCGGTGTGACCAGATAGAGAACACCTAGACCAGTGTATCTCAGACTAGCGTGCACACAGAGCACCTGAGGATCATGTTTTTATGCGGATTTGGGTACAGCGGGTCGGGGAGGACCTGCGATTCTGCCTTTCTGACCTGTTCCCTGGTGCTGCTGGTTCGTGAGTGGCTCGAGGCTGTCCTTGCATGGCCCAGATGTCAGGTACCAGGAAAGACTGAGCTGAGAAAACGGAGCCATGTTTATAGAAGAATCCTTTTGGCTTAGATTTTTACTTTTAATAAATTTTTAACAGGAGTTGCTTCATAAGCTTGTAACCTAAGTATTTATAAGAGACAAATCTCTGGGATTGCTTTGGAGGTTTTCTGCTTTGTAACATTTAATAGCACTTTCCAGATCAGAACTGTGCTTGCTTTTACACAGTGACCATAGTAGCTTCCTTAGCTGGGGGGGAAAGTGCTGCTTCACCCTTGGTTTGCCTCAGAGTCAAAACTGACATTGTGATGGTAATTTTTGTAAAGACTAGTTTTTGCAGGATATTTTTCCCGAACCCAGTTTCTCATATTAAAGAAGGTGTTCTCTTTGTCTAGGGACAGATATGGACAATTCAGTGAACTCGTATAGATTCTATCGTACATTAATTTTACTGTGGTAAATTGAGGGAAATGAGTGTGCGGTTGTTTCTGAAGAGCTATTTTTACAATGACTTTGTTCTTCATATTCTGTTCGAGTGCCACATCCCATTTTCAGGAACTAACCTGAGCACCAGTTTGCGCTCCTCGAGTCAGTGGTGGAGACAGACCAATTAGTTTTACTTGTTTATTGGTTTTTACAGAGAAACCCAGTTAGATGGACAGGAGAGGAAGCGCTCTGTGCCGGGAACGCACATAAGTGTTTGTCTATCAGTTGAGGTGGTTTGTTCCGTTTTGTTTCCCCTAGGTTTAAAACCATTTTAGCATTTTGTGTTGGTTTTCTCTGTAACTACCTAGGTTTGGGGGTGTTTGTGTGTGTGTGTGTGTATATATATATATATATATGTACACACACAGACATCCCATGTGTACCGTATGGTTATTATGTCCAGTTCTTCCTCGGGAGTGGGATATTTAGTGCTGTGTAAATAAGTTTATGTTTTAGAGTGGATTTACACCTTTCATGCATTTGAAGAGGTGACTGCAGTCAGGAGTTCTAGACTCATTCCTTTGGGTCTCTCTGTGGAGTATCCGCTGCAGACCTATTGTGTGCAGAGCACCCTCCTCCTGCCTTACTAATAATACGGAACGTGTATAGAGCCTTTGAGATCTTGCAGGCGCTGTTCTAGGTTCTTTACAAATACAAATTTGTATGTAATCCTCCACGGTCTTAGGGGGTAAGTACGCTTCCTGCCATCATCCCTGGTTTGTTTCTTTCTTCCTTTTTAAAGTCAGTACATTTTTATGTAAGGAATTTACATGTGATTCCTTCCACTCCCAATCACCTTAGTTCCTCCAAAGTCAGAATCGCGGTCTTCAAAATAGTTCTTTTCAAAGGAACTTTTTTCAGTCCCGGTTGTCACTTCTCAGTCCACAGTTCCTCTGGTTAGGCTTCTTTGACCTCTGCTTGAGTATGGACATACTTCAAAAATTCCCCTCATGTTTCAGGTCAGAGTAGATGGATCTGCCTGGTTCTCAATTTCAGACACCCCCTTAACCTGAAGAAGTTCAAACCGTGTTCACCCCAGAACGATCACCCCCTAGCATTGGACAGATTTGGGGGATATGCCGATACCTTGAAGTCCAGACATTGTGTTCTCAAGTGAGAAGGCATCTTTGTTTCATGTCGACGTAAAAGTTAGAATGTTAAATTCAGTATAGCTGAGATTTCTCTTATGTCCTAAGCTTTTAGTCATTTTGTGGTCCTGGACCCAACCTTCCTCTTGACCAGCACCGCCACCGTCAGTTTCCCCCGTTTTAGGTGTCATGTTCCTTCTTATCCAATCAGACTGAACAGTGAGTTCTGGGCTGCCAGACAGGACTTAACCTCGTGCTCTTGTCTAAGTCTTTGCCCACAAATGAAACAAAAGCAGATGCAAGTGCTTTCTGCCATCCCCATTTGAAGGAGAGGAAGCTGGAACACAGAGCAGTGACCCCATCTGTCAGCATGTGTCAGAGGCAGGGTGGCTCTTTGCCATGATGAGGCCCTGGTGGGCACTGCAGGAAGCTACAGCGGAAGCAGGAAGCGAAATACACTTTGAGGAAAGAGTCCTATTAATAAAATGTCATCTATTTTTTCTTTCTCGTTGGATTAAATGTTATTGCAGCATTTACCAAAACCTAATGTATTATCATGAATGAAATAATACTTATTTTAAAGTTGTATGTTTTTAGGGGTTCCCAGCTGTTTTTTATTGATGTGCAAAAGTTAACATATTGAGATTGAAAAAACTATGAAGAGAAGCAGTTGAGAGCCAAGTCACAGTGGTAATGTGATTGTATTTGCCCTAGGTAGACAGGTAAATCGGTCCTTTCCTTCTGGAGATTTTCACGGGGGACCAATTATTCTTATATTCTTTTTAAAAAATATAATCCACACAGCAGAAAATCCACGCAGCAGCAAAGCATACAATTCACTGGGTTTGAGTATATTCACAGGATTGTGCAGCAATCAACCACTGTCTGATTCCAGAACATTTTCATCACCCTCAGAGAAATCCTTGCACCGATTAGCACCCACTGCCCACATCCCTCACCCCTTTGGCAACCATTAATCTAGTTTGTGTCTATGGATTTGCCTATTCTGGATTTGTTGTGACTAGTGTCTTCACCTCACCTGGTAATTTGAAGCTTCACCCATGCTTCAGTAGTCGCATGCATCCGTCCGTCCTTTTTATTGCTGAATAATATCCCGTCGTGTGGACGTACCACATTTCCCATTTATCTGTTCATCAGCTGACACACATTAGGATGGTTTCCACTTTGTGGTGATTATGAATCATGCTGAAGTGAACATTAGCGTACAAGTCTTCGTGTGGACGTAGGTCTCCGGTGTGCATGGGTGTACTCCTGGGCGTGGAGTTGCTGTGCAAACGCTCTTACTAAAGCACAGCCCTGGTCCCCCCGCCCTGGGGGGCGGCAGCCGGGGGGCCTCCCTCCCTCCTCTGTTGCCGTGGCACCTGTCCCGCCGCAGCTCAGAACGCTGCCCCCCTGAGGCCATAGCTGGCAGGTACGTCAGGAACACAGACCCCAGCCTGGGCTTGAGTCCTGTCTCGGCCAACTACTGGCTGGATGGCCTTGGGCAAAGGACTGAACATCTCCGTGTCCCAGTTTCATCCGTTGTAAAACAAGGAGAGTGACGTCACATACCTCCAGGGCTTGGGGATGATTTGCTTATTTATAAAAATGAAGAGCTCAAAACAATGCCTGGTACATAGTAAGTGCTGTATACAGTGTTTGCTGCTGCTGTTATTAATAGACTCTTCTAGAAACATTTTATTTAACATTTCGTGAGAAATGTTCTTCTGTCTTTCTGTAATAGTCCTCATAGTGTTCCATTTTCTCACTGAGTTTCTTAAATAGTTTTTTGGGTAAGGCAGAGGCCCCATCGGGAGGCGTATTTTGATCTTAGATTGGTTTTGGTGATGAAATGCAGTTTAGTTTCCCAGCATGATGGTGCTGGTATTGTGGCAATGGGAGCTTCCAGTGCTTGCTGAGCAGGTGGCAGAGGTTGTTCTGAGGGCTTTACATGGGTCACTTTCTCTGATTCAGCAGTCTCCTGCAGTGGGTATGCTTGCTGCTGCTGGCTTTCCGGGGGGGGGACTGGCGGTCGGAGTGTGTCCGTCAGTAGCATGACAGCCTTGTTCTTCACTTAATCCCCAGCGCCCAGGCTGGCATGTGGGAGTAGCTGATGCCCCACAAACATTCGTAGAAGGAACGAGAGGCTTTGCCCAAGATCACCCAGCTCAGAAGTGGTAGAGCCAGCCTCAAGCCAGGCAGTCTGGCTCCAGTGTGGATTCGTACATTCGCTGTGCCCACTTCCCTGACGTTATCTTTAAAACACTGTGGGGCGCCTGGGTGGCTCAGTCGTTAAGCGTCTGCCTTCGGCTCAGGTCATGATCCCAGAGTCCTGGGATCGAGTCCCACATCGGGCTCCCTGCTCCGCGGGAGGCCTGCTTCTCCCTCTCCTACTCCCCCTGCTTGTGTTCCTGCTCTCACT